GGGCAGCCCACCAGCATGGACACCTACCCCAGTTTCACCCATCAGGGCCGCACAGATTCTGGTAGGCTCCATCTTACTGAGCCCACAAATTGCAAGAGAGAAAAAGATGGAGAATGCTAGCGATCAGACAGTGAATATGCACCAGGATGGACCATATCTGGGTTGTGGAACAACCCTTAACACATACAAAAGAACTGAACTCATACAAAGTCTGTACTCTGACCGAAACAGAGTCAGAGTAGAAATCAGTAATAGAAAGACAACTGGAAAATCCCCGATTACTTGGGAAACTAAACAACATGCTTCTACACAACCCATGGGTCAAAGAGGAAGTCTCAAAGGAAAATAGAAGATATTACGAATGGAATGAAAATGAAAATATGAAACATCAAAATGTGTGGGAGGGCCGGCCCAGTGGCACACTCGGTAGAGTGTGGCGCTTGGGAGCGCGGCGGCGCTCCCGCCGAGGGTTCGGATCCCATATAGAGACTGGTCTGCTCACTGGTTGAGCGCGGTGCGGGCATGACACCGAGGGTTGCGATCCCGTTGCTGGTCGCGGTACGGGCGCGACACTGAGGGTTGCGATCCCGTTACCGGTCATGAAAAAAGACAAAAAGGAAAAAAAAATGTGTGGGACACAGCTAAAGCAGTACTGACAGGCAAATTCATAGCACTGATTGCTCACATGAGGGAAAAAGGCTTCAGATAATAATCTAAGCCTCCACCTTAAGAAATGAGAAAAAAGAAAAGCAAATTAAACCCAAAGCAAGCATAAAGAAGGAAATAGTAAAGATAAAAGCAGAAACTAAACTGAAAATAGAGAAACAACAGAGAAAATAAACTGAATGCTAGTTCTTTGGGAAGATCAATAAAATTCATAAAACCTTGAGCTAAATAAAGAAAAAAAGAGAAGACAAAAATTACCATTATCAGGAATAAAAGAAGGAAAGAACTACAGACTTCACAGACATTTAAAAGTACATTAGGGAATGGGCCGAGCCCGTGGCGCACTCGGGAGAGTGCGGCGCTGGGAGCGCAGCGGTGCTCCCGCCACGGGTTCTGATCCTGTATAGGGATGACCAGTGCGCTCACAGCGCTCACTGGCTGAGCGTGGTGCGACCGGTCTCAAAAAAAAAAAAGTACATTAGGGAATACTATAAATAATTCCATGCATGTAAATTTGACAACTTAGATAATGTACCAATTCCTTGAAAGCCATAAACTATAAAAACTCATCAAGATGAAATAGAGAACTGGAAGAGTCCTATATCTATTAAATAAATTGAATTAATAGTCAAAAACCTTCTTAAGAGTTGTTTCATGACCCAGGATATGGTCTATGCTGGTGCGTATTCACTGTCTCTGATTGCTCTCCTTCTCTACCTTTTTCCTTCTTGCAATTGTAGGTTCAAGTACAACAGAGCCTACCAGAATCTGAGTGGCCCCAATGGGTGGAATCAGGTGAGGCAGGACCCTACCCTGCCCTGCTCCAAGAACTGCAGAATACAGAATAGAAAGGAATATTTCCCAAGTAATTTTATGAGATCACCATAACACCAGACAAACATGATACCAACACCAGAGTTCAAAAAAGAAAACAACAGACCAATATCCCTCATGAACACAGATGCAAAAATCTTCAACAAAGTATTAGCAAGTTGAACATAGCAATATATAAAAATAGTAATAAATAATATACCAAGACCAAGCAGGGGTTTGTTCAAGGAATGCAAGGTTGGTTCATCAATTGAAAATCAATGTAATTCACCATATCAACAAACTAAATAAGAAAAAACAAACATACGATCACTTCAATTGATTCAAAAAAACTTTTCACAAAATTCAACATCTATTCATGATAAAAACTCTCAGCAAACTAAACAGAAAGGAACTTCCTCAACCTGCTGGAGCATCTAGAAAAGCCCAAAGCTAATATCCTACTGAGTAATGAGAGGCTAAATGCCTTCCCCTAATACTGGGAACAAGGAAATGACGTCTGCTCTCACCCGTTATTCACATCCTACCCAGTGCAATAAGGCAAAAAAAGGAAATAAAAGGAAAGCAGAAAGATAGGTAAGGAAGGGCCGGCCCGGTGGCGCACTGCTATAGTGCGCCGCTTGGGAAGCGCAGCGGTGCTCCCGCCGAGGGTTCGGATCCCACATACAGACCGGTTCCCGCTCACTGGCTGAGCGAGGCACGGGAGCAACACCGAGGGTTGCGATCCCGTTGCCGGTCCTGGTCCGGTACGGGGGCGACACTGAGGGTTGCGATCCGTTGCCGGACACGGAAAAAGACAAAAAAAAAAGATAGGCAAGGAAAAAGCAAAACTATTCTTTGTAGACAACATGATTATTTATGTGAAAAAATCCCAATAAATGTAGGAAAATGTGAAAACATGTTCCCGGAAGCTCCA